CTGGGCACAGTGGCTCACGCTTGTAATCCCAGTACTCTGGAAGGCCGAGGTGGGCACATCACTTGAGGCCAGGAGCTCAATACCAGCCTGAGAAACATGGCAAAACTCCAACTCCACTAAAAATACAAAAATTAGCTGGGTATGATGGCACACTCCTGTAATCCCGGCTACACGGGTGGCTGAGGTAGGAGAACTGCTTGAACCCAGGAGGCGGAGGCTGCAGAGAGTCAAGATCACACGACTGCATTCCAGACTGGACAACAGAGAGAGGCCCTGTCTGTAAAAATATATATATATAAATGTGAGATGGTAGATTCCACATCAAGAATTGAGCAATAGCATTACTAAATAATTCACAGGCAAGACATCCCATGTGCTGAGGCTATCACTGATGTGAAGTTTATAAAATTAAGACCTTTAACATATAGTAGAATATTTACAACTCTTTGGGATGCGATAGGAAGTACCCACAATCTTTGATTCACTTAAATTTCTCTGATCATCTCAAGCTAAAATACTTTTAAAAGAGCTGTAAACTGGCCAGGCGTGATGGCTCACGCCTATAATCCCAGCACTTTGGGAGGCCAAGGCGGGCGGATCATGAGGTCAGGAGTTCAAGACCAGCCTGGCCAACACAGTGAACTCCCGTCTCTACTAAAAGTACAAAAATTAGCTGGGCATGGTGGCGGCACCTGTAGTTCCAGCTACTTGGAAGGCTGAGGCAGGAGAATCGCTTGAACCCGGGAGGCGAAGGTTGCAGTGAACCAAGATTGCACCACTGCACTCCAGTCGGGGGGGGGACACAGAGAGACTTTTGTCTCAAAAAATAAATAAATAAATAAAGCTGTAAACTTAAATATTAGTATTATGTGTATTTTTTGCACAAAGAGAAAGTATTCCACATTTTCTGACCTTTCTGAGATTGTAAATGGCCACTAGTAAACTTCAAAGTAATAAATACATCTCATTTGAATTTTCAGAGTGAAAGTTATATGTCATCACTGAGACAGAAAGGAACTACTTTCAGAGACTCGTAGTATGGAGAGTGCATATAAAAATGGCTATTTGGAAATATTTTCATCATTATATGACTGTGTTGTGAAAACCTATTAATAGTGTGACATCTACAAACACTTTCACATCTACACAACTAAAAAACTTGTAAGCAGAACTTTTCTAACTTGATTTAAAATCTTTGAAAGAATTTCAATAAGCTTCGAACCTATTTGTTTTTTATGTGTTTTTGTTGTTGTTTGGGGTCTTGCTCTGTCACCCAGGCTGGAGTTCAGTGCCGCAATCACAGCTCACTGTAACCTCGAGCTCCAGCCCCCACTTATTAACAAAGTAAATGTGCAGCACCTTCTGATTAACATGCAAAAACTATGTATTCACATCAAGAAAATGAATATTTACCAGCCAGATTTAAATTTAAAAAAATTTATCTTTGGAAAATTGGTAAATAGGATTGAAAATTTTAGTAGGTATAGTTTTCCTTCCATCTGAATCTGCTTCTCTAGAAGGTATCTTTTTCAGCTCTAACAGCCCTTAAGACCAAATATTGAAATAAACTGAAATCAGAACCAGAAGTTTGAATCATTCAAAAGGTGTTAAAATAAGGTTTTCAAAAATAGTAAATGTCCAAAAAATTTTATTTAAAAAACATTGCTTTTTAAAAAGTTCATTATAAATTGTATATAATATATTCTACTTCAACATCATCTCATGCTGCTCTTGATCATATTGCTGTTTTTAAAAATGAGTATATTATACTTATTTATATATGTATAAAATATATATAAACAAGTATATTATAAATTATATATCATATATACTATGTCAACATTATCTCATACTTCTTGTGTGTATATTTTATGTGTATGTTATTACTCAGAAAAATTTATTATTACTTTAAGCATATAAATAAACATATTTGGGGTGGGTGCTTATAGGTATTGGAAACTACCATTAAAGGGCAGGAGGTCTATGACCATCCAGGAATAGGGAAGAAGACAACCATAAAAAGCAAACAAGAGAGCACTAAGAAGGAAAAGTAGCACAGACAATGCGACACACATATATGGACTGCCCAACACAATGCAACGCAGTAACAGAAAACTTGTTCTGGAATAATCCAAGCCTGAGACAATGCCAAGGGGATAGAATCTCAGCAGCAAACAGCAACCAACATAAAAATGAGCAAGCGCACAGCACAGAGAGGGCAATATTCAAACTGGTTCATTCCTTCATCAGGAATTTATTGGCTCTTCGACATTCCTGCAGAAGAATTAGGAAGGAGGCTTACCCTCGTAGCCATCAAGACTTAAAACTGTGAGAACTAAAGCAATCTGGGACTGGTGCTGAGACAGAAAAACATAGCAAAGGGACAATGAATAAGCCAGCAAACAGATTCACATATATTGGAGAACTTACTCTATAACAGACATAAAGTTACATATTCAATAAATGTTGCTGGAACAATTAAAAAAAAGAATTTATTGGCTCTTTATTTTGCATGTCTGTGGTAGATACTGGAATAAACCATGAACTTGGCAGAGAATTTGCCTTTGAGGAGATCGTAGGGTAGTGGAGAAATTAAGCATGTAAACATATGACTAAAGAGCAGTGTGATCAACTGAATTTCAATGATCTCTGTAGGGGAAAAAAAAAAAAAAAAACTGCGACCAAGAACTGAGCTTCTGTAGTAAGACACTCATGCCTAGACACATTTATCAATCTCCTAGTTAGTAAGACTTTGTGATTAAATGTGTAATGCTCTTGACTAGAACTTTATATAGTTTACTTTCTAATTAAATTAAGCACAGTTCTGTAGTATATACAGCAAGCACAGACCTATGTTGGGGCCCTGATATATTTCCAATTTCCCAATACTTGAAATTGTTTTTGTTCAGATCTAGTTGCTATTTCTCTTCTACTCAGATTGTCCCCTCATCTGAGACGCTCACCATTCTTGCTTCATGTTAGCCTGTACTGAAGTGCTTGCCTCCTGAGTCTAAGGCCTTGTCTTCAGCCTCTGTGTATGCCCTAATCAGAGTTACAGTGTTGTCATCACCTGCATCATAGGGGCATTTTCTCCCTTCCAATACCCTCTGCACAAATATTGTGCATTACTGATCACGAGGGAGTGCTTCTCTTTCCAGGCCAGAGACCCTATGGCCCTCTGACTTTCTTGAATCTCAGCACCCTGCATTTTCTGGCCAGTTAACTCGGCATTCTGTCTGCACTTGAGGAGCTGGCAGAGTGGTTTTTAAATGCTCTCATTTAATAGAAGAATAACATAGACTGAGTTCAACAATACTAAACTTTCTAGACCTGCAGCAGGTCAGGAATTTTACTGCTCAACCATTTCAGACCAACAGTCATGTCAGTTACATTAACATTCATTTTAACCTTAGAGTCAAAATAATACTTACCAATATTTTTAACCAGTACAATAATGTGACTTCATAGCTTGTAAGAATTCGGTTTCCTTCCCATTTCTCATCGTACATATTATATTGTACAAATCCATATTTAGCCTAAATGGGTTTTTCAAATGTATTTTTCAAATGTTTTTACTTTTGCGCATAAAACATCAAATCTATGCTATTATCCAAAGAATAATGACTGTTTTGAATGAAACACTTCCAATGTATTCAATTATTTCATTAAAAAATTATCACACACGCACACTATATGTCTAGTTGTCTACTAAGCATAAGAAGTATAAAGATCACTTCTCTTCTTTGGAGCTCACAGTACGGTAAAGGGGACAGATATGACAACAAATAATTTGATACGTAAGACAACATGATAAGCAGATCAATGGCCAGGGCCATTCAGACAAGGGAAAGAACACTCACTCTGCTTGGGAAAGTAGCAGAGGACTTCACAGAAGAGGTGATGCTATGGCTGAGTTTTTAAGGGTAAACAGCCTTCTAGATGAACGAAAGAAAGAGCATTTCAGACAGAGAGAAATGCATGCTTACAATGTGCAAAGGGCAGAAGAAGCCTGCAGTGCTCAGTGTTACAGAAGGAGAAGATGAGAGTGGGGAGACAAGAGGCTAGAAAAAAGCCTCTTGTCTTAAGAGAGGAGACCTCTCTTAAGGAGCTTTGTATACAACAGAAGCCATCTGTTTGCTACCCAGGAGGTTCTGATCAGCCACTGAAAGACCTTAGTCAGAGGTGCTGCACAATTAGATTTGTGTTTTCTAAGATCAGTTTGACCACAGCTTGAGAAATAAACTGGAAGAGGCAAGATGGAAGGCAAGGGAAGCAGGTGTGACACTCTTGCCTAGTCCAGCTTAGAAATGCTAAAAGGCTGGACAAAAACAGTGACAGGACAATCGAAAGGAGAGAATAGATTTAAGAGGCATTTCAGAGGCAAAATCAACAAGACCTGGTGACAGGATAGACAAGGGGTGTGAGTAAGAGAGCCGTGTCTATTAAGACTCCTGGGTTTCTGAGGATGACCAAATCATCCCCACAACAAAATTATTGCTCCCTAGCTGTGGTGCCATCTGCCAACTTTCAACCCACAGCAAATTTCATTTCCAAAGTAGAAACCATGAGTAAACAGAAATAATTTCTAACTTATAAGATACCAGATCTTAAACTCATCAAGTGCTGATACATGCAGTGATGGTAACCAATAAGTAGAGTGAAAGTATTTAAATCATAAAAGGTTTCCCTCTACTAACCACTAAAAGCTACAAAGTGTCCAACATAAAATTCTAGAGTGAGTAAAGGAAGTCATGATGAAGTGAGATAATATTCTTAGGGAATTCTGTATCCAAAGCAAATACCAACGAATCAATTAATAGTCCCCAAGTCTCCATGCACCTGCCAGGACTGACCAGGTCACGACAGGACATAATAAAATACAGTGTCCACTCCCAGTGAGCTTACCTTCCTCTCGAACTCAGTCGGGGCACAGTTCCTCATAAATATTTAACTTAAGTTGCAAAGTAGACAGATCAACTTGTCACATTAACACCAGGAGGTTAAGCTGAAAATCATAGGCTGATAGCCTCCATTTCAATGAATATTCTACTAGTCACACTTCTATTGGTTTTTAAAGATAGTTTTATATAAGGTATTTTATAATTACAATTTTAAAATGCAGTCTGTATTCACAAAAATTAGTTGTACAATTTCAACTAATTTTTGACACAGGAAAAATACACATACTTTGCTTTACTCTCATATAAAACACTGATTATTCGGCTGTAGTAATCCAGATTTAAGATGCTGATGAGTCTTCGTAAAGGACTTCATCTACCTTCATGTCGTTTTCATTCACTGGGACCTGGAGGCAAATCTGTTCTTTGAAAGCCAACGCTAGGGTGTAGGGCTTCACTTCCTGATGCTGCAAACAGCGCTTCAAGTAGGCATCATAGTAGCCCTTGCCCCTCCCCAGTCGGTTGCCATGTTTGTCAAACCCAAGGCCTGGCATGAAGATGAGATCGAGTCCCCCTGCGGAAAAGAGGAACAAATTTAAGAGGATTAATTGTTTCTGAAAGATCATTTCAGGATGTGCTTTTTGTTTTGTAATGACATCTATTCTTTCTCTGATTTCTAAAAACAATTTGTGACCATTAATAGCCAAAAAGCACAGAGCTGGACAAAAAAGGAAATAAAACTTACTCAGCAACTCAGTTAAGTCTCTTATTCATCCTTCCAATAGATACTTTACATATATCTGTACAAAAGTGCCAGATTCCCAGGCCTCATTCATAACTAGTTAAATAAAGAGAATCTCCAGAGATAGATAGGGCCCTCTTTTTTTAGTATCCTGGTGATTCTCCATACCTGTCAGGTTTGGAAATCAACGCCCCAGGATAATGACAGTTGGAGGGCGGGAGAGGGTCAAGGAGGAGCCATAAAGGACAGAGCTGTTCTCAGGGTCAGTGAGCAGAAAGTCCACTGTCAGGCATACCAAGCAGTTCAGACAGCCTACTCCCTCCTCATTTCCCCTCCCATTGGAGAGGCAAGGCCAGGCTGCCAGGCTTCCCCAGATTCATGTGAGAGCAGGCTTTGACCTACTCAGAGACATTCCAAAGGTACAAGATGGGGACCCACAACTAGTCCTCTAGCTAGAACCCTCTCAAGTAACACGAAAACCAGAACTGGCTATGACATTATCAAGACAGAATGCTGAAGCTCAGGGTGGGAGGCAGGGTCCTGGAGGCTGTAAAAACCCAACTGCAGGAAGGGTGTGTGAGGATTCCCATGAAGATGGCAATAAAGGTCACTAGGTGAAGGACCTCCATGAGGGAATGGTACTCCAGCCTCTGGCAAGAAACATGGGGTACCAGTGTTAGCACAAGAGCCACATTACATCTGCAACCCAGTGGTCCGCCCTGTGGCCTCCTTGTACTGAGTCTTGGCCTCCTGACAGCTGTCCTGGGGGCTTCTGGGTGACCCATAGCTTAATCGTGGACTAACCATTCACATAGCATTGCTGGCAAGATATACCAGGGTTGGAAGCCATGAATTCTCTGGAACAGGGTGTTCAGAGTAGAGAAGATCAGACTGCTAGTACGGCTGGCCCCCGCTATCAGCAGATATTCTGACTACCTACAGAACTGTGAGGTGAACTCAGCTTCTCTCTGGCTCCCAGCATACACTGGTCACCCCTGCCTGCCAAAATCCAGCAAAGCATGCCTCAGATTACAGTAATGACCTTCCCCTGTAAACCTGCTTGTCTACTTCAATTCCAACTTGCTAAAAAGATCCCAGTCACTGACTTTTGTCTTTCCTCCCTGCCCCGTCCAGCTCATTGACAGTGGACTGTGAATTTGGACTTTACTCCCTCGTGTCCTCTTTCTGTTGCCAGAGCACCATCAGGCTTGAAGTTCAGTTCTGTCTTCCATACCTAGAACACACAATGCGCATACCTTTCTAAGGATTCCTGCCTCTTTACAGTATGACAACGTGCTCTGTAAGGTCCTCTGGAGGACACACAGTCTCTTCCCTTCATGAAGTGGCAGTTCAGTTAGTACAAAATATATCCACATGTAATATCCATTCCAATGCACAGCAGCAGTCTCTGCCAAATGCCTCAAAAGCAACAGAGACAAATACTAGAGACCTCAGCAGCGGGACAGCAAACGCTGGGTGGTCAGGGAAGAATTCATGGAAAACTCAACTTGACCTGGATTTTTAAGATGTGTCAGAGTTGGGTCTAAATATCTTTCAGAAACCAAAAGAAGGGTGGCAAGAGCCGAGTGAGGGAGTAGGAAGTGGGGAGCAGTTTACTTGCTGGGACAGAAGGATCAAGCTGAGGAGTAGCAGAAGACATGAATGTAGAGTTCACCAGGTACAGGCATGGAGATTTGGGGTCAAAGGCACAGAGACCCCCTAGAACACAATAGCAAAAAACCAAATAACCCAATTAAAAACTGGGCAAAAGACTTAAACAGGCTGAGCACGGTGGCTCATGCTTGTAATCCCAGCACTCTGGGAGGCCGAGGCGGGTGGATCATGAGGTCAGGAGATAGAGATCATCCTGGCTAACACGGTGAAATCCCGTCTCTACTAAAAATACAAAATATTAGCCAGGCGTGGTGGCAGGTGCCTATAGTCCCAGCTACTCAGGAGACTGAGGCAGGAGAATGGCATGAACCCGGGAGGTAGAGCTATCGCACCACAGAACTCCAGCCTGGGCGACAGAGTGAGACTCTGTCTCAAAAACAAAAAAGACTTAAACATACATTTGTCCAAAGAAGACATACAAATGGCCAACAGGCATATGAAAATATACTCAACATCACTGATCATCAGGGAAATACAAATAAAATCTTCAATGAAACATCACCCCACACTCACGAGGATGTCCAATATCCAAAAAATAGAAAACCACAAATGTTGGCAAGGATGTGGAGAAATTAGAACCCTTGTACACTGCTGGTGGGGATGTAAAATAATGCACCCATTAAAGAAAAGAGTATACGGGTTCCTCAACAAATTAAAAGCAGAACTACCATATGGCTCAGCATTCCCACTTCTGGGTATCTATCCAAAAGGATTGCAAGTCAGGGTCTTGAAGAGATATTTGCACTCCCACGTTCACTGCACCATTATTCCCAAGAGCCCACATATGGAAACAACCTAAGTATGCATCGATGGATGAACGAACAAACAAAATGTGGTACATATATTCAATCAATATTATTCAGCCATATTAAAGAAGGAAATTCTGCAGTATGTAACCCATGGATGAGCCCAAAGGATATTATGCCAAGTGAAATCAGTCAGTCACAAAAAGACAAATACTTTATGATGCCACTTACATGTGCTATCTAGAGTAGTCAAAATCTTAGAAACAGAAAGCAGAACGATGGTTACCAGGCGCAGGAGAAAGCGGGAGACAGAGAGTTGCCATTCAACGGGTACAGAGTTTCATTCATGCAAGATGAAAAAATTCTAGAGATCTGCTATACAACTGTGCTTACAGTTAACAATACTTTCCCAGACACTTACAACTTTCAGGAGGGTAGATCTCACATTATACGTTATTTACCACAATAAAAAATTTTAAAAAGCAAAGAGACCAAAAGAGAAGCCAGGAGAATAGTCAGGATTCCCACCAGAGTCAATACACAAGAAAGAAAAGGCAGAATTTTGGAACATCCACATTTAGGCAGTTGGAGGAAAAGAATGAAGAAATGAAACAGAGATAAGAAAACAACGTTCTCAAATCCCTTGAGCAAGAGTTAATCTTACTGCCTCTTTTCTTGTTACTCCCTGTACTTTGATCACAGCTCTCACTGAAGTCTACCTTGTACCACAGTTGATGGTACACGTCTCTGTCTCCCTCACCAGACAGAAAATTTCTTTGAGGGCCATAATTTTTCCAAGTCCTCTTTCATCCTTGGATTTTAATAGAATTTTAGGCCAAAGAAACTCTGAAAAATGAGTATTTGGCTTGCAGAATGGATCAATCCCAGCATGACATCCCCTATTTTAGTAATTCCAAAGTACATAAATTTAGCTCAAAGAGGCAAAAAAATAAAATAAAATAAGAAAAATACAACTTTGTATGGCTGCTTTTTCAAAATGAGTTTTACACTTGAGAAGCAAGAGGAGAATGGTTTTTGGATTTTCAGGTAACCAAAGCTCAGAAAAGGCCCTTCCTACGTGGAGGTCCTTGCATCATACATGGGGTATTGTTGTTGTAGCCCTGCTCACAGAACTGTTCCTGCTGCTCCCTTCAACCACAGGGATCACAGGCTGCTCCTGGCCTCAGGTCCTTAAGATATACTTCCTGGTCTGCTCCCACTTCTGCTACTTGGTAAATCCAAGTGTTCTCCTTGAAACACATTGTGTATTCTTTGTTTGACTTTATTTGTTGTCACCCTTGAAGCTCTTCCTGTGTCTTACCACCATCTCCACATGCATCACCCACCCGCCACACACACCCCTGGGGCTCCTCACACTTCGGGAACACTATGCTGGATGTTTTTCCTCCTCAAAGGTGACAGCTCAGTGGGGTTTAAAAATCATGCAGAGGCTCAACAAGCTTCCCTCACACACACTGGTCCCACTAATAGAGGTAGACACCAGAGACACCTTCACACACCACAAGGTTAGAACTCAATAGGGGAGACAGAAGAAAAAACTTAGTCCATGCACAGTTCATATGCCTCTGGTATGGCTCTATTTTCAAATCACCAAGGGCTCATTAATAGTGTCCACTGACAGCACAATGTGCAAGAGCCAACCTGCTCTGATTTTGTTTAATCCTGTGTGCACTTACTTCACATTCGGTGCTAGTGGGCACAGAGCTCTCTAGATGTCACAAGATTGTTCTGCAGAGTCACGGTTTGTTGAGTGTTTTTCTCCAGGTTTCACTAGCTTCTAATGTGATCTTGCATTCCAAAACTGCAAAGGTAACCTTTGGAAAACTCACCCAACCCACACACACTGCATTTATTTGCTCAAAAACATCTTCTGTCTTTTCATTTGGTGCTGGCTCTGAAACAGCAGTGCCCTCTGGAGTCAGTCTGATGTGGTGACTCCACATCAGAGGGCATGGGCCCTCAGGCTATTTCTTAGCTGTGTGATCACAAGCAAGCTACTGCAATCTCTGTGCTTCCATGTGTTTTCTTATCTGTAAAATGGAGCTGGTCATGAAAACTGTATGAGATAATGCAGCGTATCTGTTCACAACAATTATATTTATTAGGATAACTTTCTACTTTTTTTTTTTAAAGAAATCTCAGGCACTATTTCTTGAACCAGGTAGCAGGGAAAGAGGTATAGTTTCTCCAATACTTCAAGTATTTTTTTTTTTTTTTTAGAGATGAAGTCTTGCTCTGTCGCCTGGGCTGCAGTGCAGTGGCCGGATCTCAGCTCACTGCAAGCTCCGCCTCCCAGGTTTATGCCATTCTCCTGCCTCAGCCTCCCATGTAGCTGCGACTACAGGCGCCCGCCACCTCGCCCAGCTAGTTTTTTGTATTTTTTAGTAGACA